ATATTAGCATTCAATTTTGAAAGTTTTGACTTTTTTTTGGCCCGCAAATAAAAATATCCAAAATGTTTACTAGGGTCGCTAATACCATTCGGGAGTCCCATTGAATGGGTGGAACCATACAATTTGCCTTTAAACGACCAATTTACCGGTTTACAACGTGCACCGATCTCATTAACTCAAGCCTACAACGAACATTTATGACAACAAATAAATAATGATCATATATGGTTCCAAACGGCATTATATGACCCTGAGATATATCCCATAGAATTTGAAGACTTTTTGACATCGGGCCACGAAACCTCCAAAATTTCTCAAAAAGCGTGGATATTAGCCTTCACTTTTGGAATATTTTGACTTTTTTCGCCCTGAAATAAAAATTGTCGAAATGTTTACCATGGTCCCTTATACCTTCTAAGAGACCAATTAGGTGGGTGGAACCATCCAATTTGCCTTTAAACAACAAATTTACTGATTTACAACTTGCACCGATTTCATTAACTCAAGACTTCCACAAACATTAATGACAACAATAATGATCATATATGGTTCCAAACGGAATTAAATGACCCCGAGATGTATCCCCCGAAATTTCAAGACTTTTCCACACCAGACCCCGAATATAATCCTCTAAAATTTCTCAAAAGCGTGGATATTAGCCTTCAATTTAGATAGTTTTGACTTTTTTTTGCCCGAAAAAAAATATCCGAAAAGTTTACCATGGTCCCCTAATACCATTCGGGAATCCCATTGAATGGGTGGAACCATACAATTTGTCTTTAAACGACCAATTTACCAATTTACAACGTGCACCGATTTCATTAACTCAAGCCTACCACGAACATTTATGACAACATATAATGATCATATATGATTCAAAGCAGCATTATATGACCCTGATATGTATCCCCAAAAATTTTAGTATTTTCGACACCGGGTCCCGAAACCTCTAAAATTTCTCAAAGAGCGTGGCTATTAGTCTCCAATTTTGGAATTTTTTTGACTTTTTTTCTTACGAAAATAAAAATTTCCAAAATGTTTGCCATGATCTCTAATACCCTCGCGGAGTCCAATTGGGTTGGTGGAACTATCTTATTTGCCTTTAAAAGACCAATTTAATTACCTGTTTATAACTTGTACGGATTTCATTAATTCAAGCCTACTACTAACATTTATGACAACATATAATGATCATATATAGTTCCAAACAGCATTATATGACCCTGATAAGTATCCCCAAAAATATTAATACTTTTCTACACCAGGCCCCGAAACCTCCAAAATTTCTTAAAAAGCGTGGATATTAGCTTTCAATTTTGAAATTTTTTGATTTTTTTTTTCGCCCGGAAATAAAATTGCCGAAATATTTACCATGGTCCCTAATTCCCTCCGAGAGTCCAATTACGTGGGTGGAACCATCCAATTTTCCTTTAAGCGACCAATTTATCGGTTTACAAATTGCACCGATTTTCATTAATTCAAGCCTACCACGAACATTTATAACAACAAATAATGATCATATATGGTTCAAAACAACATTATATGACCCCGAGATGTATCCCATATAATTTCAAGATTTTTCGACACCGGGCCCGAAACCTCTAAAATTTCTCAAAAAGCGTGGATATGCCTTCAATTTTGGAATTTTTTGAATTTTTTTCACCCGATATTAAAAATGATGAAATGTTTACTATGCTCCCTAATATCCTCCGGGAGTCCAATTGGATGTGTGGAGCCATTTAATTTGCTTTTAAACGACCAATTTACTGGTTTACAACTTGCATCGATTTCATTAACTCAAGCCTTCCACGAACATTTATGACAACAAATAATGAATATATATGGTTCCAAACCGGAATTAAATGACCCCGAGATGTATCCCCCAGAATTTCAAGATTTTTCGACACCGGACCCCAATCCTCCTAAATTTCTCAAAAAGCGTGGATATTAGCCTTCAATTTTAAAAGTTTTGACAATTTTTTCGCCCGAAAATAAAAATTTCCAAAATGTTTATCATTGTCCCTAATGTCGTCCGGGAGTCCCATTGAATGGGTGGAACCATTCAATTTTCCTTTAAACTACCAATTTACCGATTTACAACGTGCATCGATTTCATTAATTCAAGCCTACCACGAACATTGATGACAACAAATAATGATCATATATGGTTCCAAGCAGCATTATTATATGAGCCTGAGATGTATCCCATAAATTTTTTAGACCCCGAAACCTCAAAAATTTCTCAAAGAGTGAGGCTATTAGTCTCCAATTTTGGAATTTTTTGACTTTTTTTCGCCCGAAAATAAAAATTTTCGAAATGTTTATCATGGTCTCTAATACCTTCCGGGATTCCAATTGGGTTTGTGGAACCATCCTATTTTCCTTTAAACGGCCAATTCAATTACCGGTTTACAACTTGTACGGATTTCGTTAACTCAAGCCTACTACGAACATTTATGACAACATATAATGATCTTATATGGTTCCAAACAGCATTATATGACCCCGAGATGTATCCTCAAAAATATTAATATTTTTCTACACCAGGCCCCGAAACATAAAAAATTTCTCAAAAACATGGATATTAGCCTTCATTTTTGGAATTTTTTGACTTTTTTTTCGCCCGTTTTTAAAAAATGTCGAAATGTTTACCATGCTCCCTAATATCCTCCGGGAGTCCAATTGGGTGTGTGGAGCTATTTAATTTTCTTTTAAACTACCAATTTACTTGTTTACAACTTGCACCGATTTACCGGTTTACAACGGCCAATTTAATTAACTTGTACGGATCCCGACTTGAACCAATATTGACCCTAACCCGTTTTAACCCGTCAAAACCCAAATTTTACCCGAGTTGTTACTAATCTGATCTGAATTCAACCTGACACGTTCCTAACCCGACCCAAATTTAACCCAACCTGTTTCAAACCCGACCTGAAATCAACCCGACTTGTTATTGACCTGACCCAAATTCAACCCGACTTATTATTTACCCGACCCAAATTTTTCCATACATATTACTTACCCAACCCAAAAATTCAACCCGATCTGTTACTAACCCAACTCGAAATTAACACGACTTGTTATTGACCCGACCTAAATTCAACCCAAATTGTTCCTGACCCGATTTTAAATCACCTTAAATGTAATTTAGACCACATTATTATTATTGGTCATAGCATTTTTTCTTGGGGGACCAAGTCGGTCCAGGCCAGCAAAAGAAAGGAGCATCATTCTCAAATTTAAGAGTTAGATATAGTATATATATTTGTTGTATGGTCAAAGGAGATAACTATCTTCCTAAATTATAGACTATAGTTCCGTAGTTTATTGCCATATATATTATAGTCAAAGAAAATAATTATCTTTAACCGAACCCGAATCTCACCTGAGAATTACCCTAACCCGTTTTAACCCCTGAAAACCCGAATTAAACCCGACCTATTGTTCACCCAACCCGAATGTAACCCGACCTGTTATTAACTCAACCCAAACATGATAAGAAGTATTACCCGACTTGACCCGACTCAAGCATGACCCAACCCAAACCCGACCCGCATAGGTTATGGAATTAATCTAGACCTGGTAAATGGGTCATTTCGGGTCAAAAGGTTTTCGGGTCAAGTTCGGGTCGGATCGGGTCATTTCGGGTTGATTTTGGGTCGACTAATAATCGGGTCGGTCGGGTATCGGGTCAAGACTTCGGGTCGAGTCAATTTTCGGGTCGGGTCAGTTTGGGTCGGGTCAATTTTCGGGTCGGGTCAGTTAGGGTCGGGTCAATTTTCAGGTTAGCTTTGGGTCGGGTCAACTTCGAGTCGAGTCATATTCGGGTGATTCATTGGGCTAAATTCAACTCTATATATATATATATATATTTATTTATTTATTGACAAAAAACTCACTATATTTATTAAAGCTTTTTTTTCATGGAATATAGTAATTGATTGATTTATATTAACCTTTTTTTTTTTTTTGTGTGTGTTTAGATTGAGAATCACTTTCAGGATCTCCTGAAACTATGAGGGATGCTCTAACTAATTGAGTTATAACTCACTCTCTTATTGATCTTAGTTTTAATACGTACTCTTATTATCATTGTCATTGTTGTAATAATTTCTTTGAATTATTCTTATACTCTCTCCGTCTCAAATTACTCATAACGATTTGACATTTTGCACTATTTACACATCTCACTTTGACCATCTTTTTAGCTATTATATGAAAGTCAATGCAGTCATGTAAGATTTTGTTGGGTCTATTTTAATGTATAATTTTCTAATATAAACTTTTTATAACTTATACAATTATTTACTAAAAGAAGTTAAAGGTCGAGTCATTTTCGGGTCGGATCAACTTCGGGTCTCGGGTCAACTTCGGGTCGGGTCGTTTCGGGTCTCGGGTCAACTTCGGGTTGGGTCATTTCGGGTTTTGGGTCAAGGTCGGGTCATTTCCACTTCGGGTCGGGTTAATTCGGGTTTTGGGTCAATTTCGGGTCACTAATTTCGGGTCGATTTCGGGTCATGGGTCGGGTTATTCGGGTCGGGTCATCGGGTCTGGACATGATTGCCAGTTCTAAATTAATCTGAATTGACCCGACCCGAGTTGACCCGACCCACTCTTACCCAACCCAAACCTAACCCATTTACCCGAATTGACAGCTTTAATATAAATAATATTCCTTTTTTTGGAAAGTGCATTACTTTGACTTTCGCAATATAGATATAATTGTACTAACTTTGATTAAGTAACATTAATAACATATAAATATGATTTAATTATGTAAATGCTATTGTATTAGTCAATTTCTTTTATAAAAAAAATCATTTTTTTTATTCATGTTTTTACTAATGAATTTAGAAGATATTATTGATGGTCAAAGTTGTGTATTTAGCAAATATGGCGGTTAAAGTGGTGCACTTAAAATTGTGGGAGTATGTGTTGTTAAATGTTATCTAAATTAATTACGAATAACTTTAAAATAACCGTGCAGGCACAGGACCTAAACAAGTAATACAATGACATACAAGATCATACTTTTTTTTTGAAGCACATACAAGACCATACTAATTGTCTTCTTAATTACCGAAGTCAAGTCCAGATAGGAATCTAGGATCACAATGCCAGTCTTTGCACATCAAGCCATGAGTCCAATGAGCCATGATAGTGTGTCACGGCCTTTAGATGACAATCCCCGCAACAATCCATGCAGATCACCTGTCGTGCCGGGGTTGGCAGGCTGCACGGCTAGGACGCCCATCTCATCCACCATTGGTGCCATTCCGTGGACTGCATTATAAAGTCAATTGCATCCCAACTCATCCACCATATCTACGTTCTTTCAATGACTGCATTACAACAAAACACACTTCAGATTTTCTCCAAGCAATGCCCACCATTTCTACATTCTTTCAATGACTGCATTATAACAAAACATAGTTCAGATTTTCTCCAAGCCGATGATCTACACTCAAAGATTCAAGCTCAACAGGCAGAAATGAAGCTAGAATCAATCCATTTATTGTCACCCATATATATATGCCTCCTTCATAGTGTTTTTACAACTTTTCATTCAAATTCCTCAACATCTGATGCTGAATATCACGCTTGGTTTTATACTCTGGCTCCCCACGTCAATTGAGAACTACACTGGCAAAGTAATTTACATTTACAACAATCGTTACAGGGTACAACTATCACATCTCTCATATAAATTACAACTACTAACACTTTACAAAGAACTGATTTGCAAGAGAAAAAAAATTGAAGATCAATCACTAGCTTCAGTGGATAAAAAGTATTATTCGCCTCGTATCATTAGGGACTGAAATGGCACCCGCTTAATCTCCACAAATGTTGAATACTCTTTGTCTAGTGGCTGTCTCCATGGCTCCCCATCTGTCTGCATAAACGATTGTTTCCACTCACCACCTCTAACTTCAAATCTAATCGCAGCAGCCTGAGATACAACAATAAAATTTTTAACACATTGTTGTAATTTCTTCTCAGGCAACTTAAACACCTCAATTAGTCAACAGCACTGTCTCCGCCAAAAGAACAAAAGCTAGGCATTCGGAAATCACCAGTCTTGGACCAAGCCTATATGCCTTTTCCAATCCTTTTGATAGTATTTTTCTGCTCAACTACTTTTTAATTCTTTAAGTACGGTGTTTTAACAAGAATAAGTGGCCTCAACTCTTGTTTCGGTAATTACTAATTAGCTTGAAAGTGTCATATGTCAGGAAAAAAAATACTTATCTGGTGCATCTTTTGAGTAATTATGTTCTCTTTGTTTTCGGGTTGTTTATACTTCGTATTTTGGAATGCTCAATTTCTTGTAAGCTATGATCCAAAAATGTTCTAAAGCTATTAAATTTAAATCATAACTACTGACACAAAGAATAGGTAACTAAAATGGCAAGGCTTATTCAATATTACTTGACCTCAAGTTCAGGTCTTTGTATAAATGTTATATTACTGTCATAGGTAATACATGTTACTAAATGGTTTACATGACATGTTTATAGCGCTTAAACAGTGACACATGGAACATAAATAATCCTAGGAGCCCTATTTGTTCCAACCAAAAAATTGAAAAAACAAAATTGAGCCTCAAGGGAAGCCTGAGCTTAGTTCGATAAGCTTTCAGCAGCTATTTTGGTCAGGCTAAGCTAAATTCATTTACATGAGTCGCCCCACTAGTTCTTCAACAAAAAATAAGTTAAGATTCATTTTAAAAAAATTATAAAAAAAGAAAAAAAAATTTAAATAATAATAATAATAACAATAACAATAACAATAACAATAACAATAACAATAACAATAACAATAACAATAACAATAACAATAACAATAACAATAACAATAACAATAACAATAACAATAATAATAATAATAATAATAACAATAATAATAACAATAATAATAACAATAACAATAACAATAACAATAACAATAACAACAACAATAATAATAATAACAATAATACAATAACAATAACAATAACAACAACAATAATAATAATAATAATAATAATAATAATAACAATAACAATAACAATAACAATAATAACAATAACAATAATAATAATAATAACAATAACAATAATAATAATAATAAAATTTCAAAAAAAAAAAAAAAAAAAACACTAACCTGGGCAATGTGCTTGGCAGATATTAGTTCTACCATAACAAAAGAAGCATGCCATCCATGTTTTAAACCAAATATTTCAAGAAGACCATCATCAGCATTGGCCTCAACAAATCCTTTCTGCAGAATTAAGAAAGCATTCGCAAGTGGCCACATATTAGAATAAGACATAAATTACAATGTAGAAAAAAAAAACATTCAGTCATCATACTGTTAGAAATTAACAGTCAGTCCAGAAATTAACAGTCAGTCACATACTGTTTCAGAAAGTCCAGAAAAACGATCATATTTTCTAATAGTCAGGGTTACCTATTCTGTATTAACTTATTAATATTTTTGTTCCAATACTCGATACTTTAGCCGTTTTGCATATTAATACTCCCAAAAATACATTAACAAGGAGGGGTAGTGGAGAGTAAGAATAGATCAGCAAGGGTGGGGTTTCTTTATTTGTCACCATTACTCCAACCAAACACCATAGCGGCTTGGCTTGGGGGTTTCGTTCATTTGCTTCCCTTTTTGAGTTTGCTTCTTTGCAGGGTTACCTAATAGGCTAATACTCCCCTCCCATCCGTGAACTCCCGATTTCAATAAACCTTAATATTTATTAGGGCGTATTATTTATATCGTATTATAACCCCAAAAAGCGTATTACAAAAAAACCTCAAACGTATTACAATACTCCCACCTAGCATATTGCGAATTCAAACTCGTTCTGCGCATTAAAGCGTACTACATATTAGGTAACCCTGCTAATGTGGAGAGAAAATGCGAATGAAATGATTACTATGTAGGACATAAAGGTGATATCATGTGAGTCCTAATACTATAGGGTTTAGGAGACTAACAAATTATTCCAAAAGGAGAAAGTAATTAATATTTAGCCATAAAGAAAAAGCATCACAGCAACAATGGCATATGATGAATTCAAATTTATTTATTTTTATTGATTTTGTAACATATCAAGATTATCCTATAATCTAACTACGTGTCTTAATATGCAACTGACCAACTCGTGTCAGCCATGCTAATGATATAACTATTATTACCTTTTTTTTAACCAAGGAGAAATGAAGGATAAAGGAAGAGGGGAAATTACCTTTTCCAAGTATTCTGGTCTCAAATTACCCCATGGATGTCTTCCACTTGCATAACTATGAAGATTCAATGCAACTATTGACCTTACACTGGAAAATAGAGGACAAATATGAGCACAAAATAGAACCTTTAGACACAAACAAGCCACATGCTATCACTAAACGACTAACACGGCAGATTGAAACATACTGTAAACTAAATAGCTTGACAAACAAAAGAGTCATATAAACCAGTCAAGGTTACAATATCTCAGATAATTACTTTGATGGAACCCGAATTTGCTCCCATTCTGAACTGTTGATCTTTTTTATATGAATCCTCAAGATGTTATTGAGTCCCCTGCAAACATACAAGTACTCCCACATAAGAAAAGTCTACATGGAAAAAGCATGATATGATGCCACCTCGTATATTTATGATCTAATATCAGCAATGGTAAAATACAACTTCAGAAACAAAATTAATCAGAGAAAAATTCCAAAAAAAACTTGGCATTTAAGGCAAAGCCACACTTTGAAAGCGGACCTATCAAAAGCATATAATATAAACTTGAAGACTGTGTCAGATAACTTGAGTTGAAATGACATTCAAAGGCAGCAGTAGAAAGTATATAGCTTATAGTAGCTTACAAAATATCTAAAGCATTCAAAAGGCATGGTAAAAGTCAAGGATAGTGTGCACTACAGATAGGAAGGGCTAAACTAAAAAAACAGCAGCAGACTAACATCAGCATACTGATAATGAAAATCAGCAATACAAAGAAAGTCGTACCTTAAGCTTGGATCACTAACACATGGTGTGAAGAACCAGCCCTGGGTACAGCTGTATCCAGAATATATCAGCTGCAACATGATGAAATTTAATTAAACAAAAGACAAAAGAAGACAGTGTCAACATCAATCTACATTAAGGCAATCAAGAATACTTCAACTAATAATTATTTAAGTTGTGGGTGATACATCAACTACAAAGATTAAACTGCGATAATGTCTGTATATTTTCAGTTTTGTAGATACCAAATTTCAAACCAAAGGTGAACTGATGTTTCAGCATGATCAAATTGGACCAACAATTGTTTGTGACGTCTAGTTTTTCTAAGGTTTTCATGTATTTTCAAATTATTCCTAGTTTTGAATCATTACACCCACGTCAGACACATGTAAGGCTATGCTGTATGCAAGCCAGGTAGGTATATATTATCAATAGCAACAAAAAATGAGCCATGAGTCCAGGGGGGGAAAAAAAATTACTACTGTTTGCAATAATGACGAGGAACCAAGAATGCAATTACTTTCATGATACTCTTCAGATTTCAGAAAGTTTGCAGACATATCTTATAAAAGAACTTATTCTCCTCTTTCTTTATGATGAAACAACAAGATCTAAAATCACAGAACTGGGTTCAGAAATTGAGTTATACAGATATGACAGGCAGACAGGATATGTGCCTAAGCAATTAGAGAAACCATTTATTTTAAACATGATGATCAAAACACAATAAAGAGAAATTGAGAAAGAAAACAGTTGATACGACATCAATATATTAGTCATACCTTATTTGCAACCGGACCCTGTGCAAGATACGGCTTTTCATTACGCAAGGTATGGAAACCATAAGCAACTTGTGCATCCATACCTGTAAAGACAAACAAGAGTAACTAAGATCTGCCGAAAATTTTTCACAAAATTTATCCAAAAATGCACAACACTTGATAGAATCTAAAAGCCTTTTTTCCAAGTAGCAGACAAGTTTATGCAAGGTGATCCATAATTGATAAATTTCAGCAACCCTAGTAAGTATAATGTTGGAAGCAAACTAAAAAAAAGAGTGATTAATCCTTTATAACTATCTTGTGAAACATTCTATTTCATTACAAATTTAGTTAAAAGAGAATATTTCAGTCTGTCAAGCAAGCAGACCAATCCACTAATCCAGATAATGCTACAACTTTTTTGTAAATTTATCCTATCACTTTTCTATTTTTACATACTAAGAAACTAATTTCATGATTTTTGAAATATCTTTCACATTTCATTGCCACTTTCTGCAATTTCACTAGTAATTAAGAATTCTAACTAAAAGTGCTTCATTAACAGAAATTACAAAGATTCACAGCATAATTGATCAAGTAGGCTTGTACTCAACTGTCAAATTGGGAACAATTGTTGCATTATTGGCAAAATGAAACTAAAGAGGAATATAAAACCAAGCAGCAAGCTTGAACAAATTGGGGTACAGTGGTTCTATGAACAGCTTAAAATGACTACATAAATGCTAATGAAAAACAACTAATAACTGCACAAATTATAGCTAAAGGAATTTACCAATGCTAAAATAGTTGTAGAACACTCCATCATAACAAGTCACTTTCTCAGGAAGACGGCCAGCAAGCAAAAAACCCTGCAAAATCCCAAACTTCAACTCGGGAAGAATATGAAAACACTCCAACAGGCCCAATTATTACAATAGGAATCTATGCATGTAGTCCATTGCTTTTTGGGCTTTCCATTATTTATTTTTTTCTTCAAGGTAGGCAGCACTTAAGACATTGAAGTGTATTGAAGAGACAGGAAAGTCATGGAAATGAAAAAAGAAGTGTGCAAGAGACTAATAATGCAAAGATAGCTGGATTTAAAACCTGATCCAGAGTGCATTCTCCTGTTGACTTCAACGAATGAGGAAGCTCCATAGCTTCTCCAGCAGGCATTGTTATTGACACATGCCAACTGCAGAATAATAAAAAATAATAATAAATACACACATACATAAAATGATAGCAGGAGATAAACAAAAATGCTGATCACTTGTAACATAAGTCCATTGGACCTTCCTTATTTGCAAGCATTAATATAACCAAAACAGCCATACCTTCGTCACAAATCATTGCATCTTAAAGGTTACAAGGGTACAATGCCAACCAATTCAAACCCCCCCCCCCCCACCCTCCTCTCTCTTCTCTGTTGCCCTCTCTCTCTCTCACAACCCTAAGATCACCCATGTTCCTTTAACAGTATATTTCCAAGTAATCAAGCACAAAGACAGCCAGCGAGTTAATCTCTTATTTCAGGTATACCAATAAGTCATCAAGTATTAACCAGTAATCAACAAGGACAGATACATCCTCTAGTACTGAACAGCGGCAGACATACCAATACTATCAGGCGTTAATCAATCACTATACCTCAAGCATAACTGCGAAGAAAGTAAGAAATCAAGATGCAATTTGGCAATTAGGTCCTATTCTCTTCATCTTATTAATACTGAACTTTTATAGTACTGGCCTTAACTTGTAATTTACTGGCTAGAACTGAAATTTTACTGATTCACTGTTGACTTTGCTCTTTGAAGTTACTTATTTTCTACTTAATAAAACTAAATTTCACTAAATAAAATTTATTTTTACTGATGAATACATATAAAAACTTTTACTTGCTGATTTAAGCTTTAATATTTTATTTCTGGGTGAAGAGAACAAAGCCATGATGTCTGGTCCTCATGATTCTACAAGCTTGCTATGACTTTCAATAGCATGACAAATGTTTGGTAAGAATGAAATGATTATTTCAATAGAACAGCTACTGGCATTCCAAGGACACCGGCAGTAGTTACAAAAGGTCAAACTATAATGTATGATTCATACAGAGCAATGTTAGAAAATTTTATTAACTTCCGAAATGTGCATGTCCACTAACAAACCAAACAATAGACCCAATGACGGTGTCACACTCATAAGGAAGTTAAATTTTCATTTCTAACTGAGTTGCAGCCAAGCACAACCATAGTTACAACTTACAAGTTGATTCCAAACATAGGCGAGAAATTGCATAATAAATATAAATCAAACCGTAAGCAAGAAATTCAAAGTGGAAAACAATTACCTGTCTAAACGAGAAACAGTGCCAATGCTAGCCTTTTGAAGAGACCTTTTGACAGCTGACTTCCAAGCAAATGGAAATGAACCACCCTGTTAATAATTGATCCGAAACCAAAATAGGGGGCACAATCAACAAGATGCTCTTCTTAATATTATTAAACAACTTTTATAAAAAGGATAAAATTTATTAAAAAAATAATAATAATAAAAATTAAAAAAAAAAAAAAAAAGGCTCCATCATGAACTGGAAGATGGGAAAGAAAAGAGGATTTACCCAGCCAAAACTTCTGGACAGATCATTCCCTGTGCCAAGGGGAATGACTGCCACTGGAGGAACCGGAGTTCTAGACTCTTTGTGAAGTTCACCCAGGCATCCAAGTACCCAACCAACTGAACCATCTCCCCCAGCAACCTGCCGAACAAACAAAGCCAAATTAGTTACCGTAATACAGACAGGTGCCATTAATGCATCATTGTTTACAATAGAAATGAGGAATCAATGATCAATGCATCCATGGAAACAACATCCCAAAATAGTGTAAAATGCAAACCACTTAAAGCAATCTCTCTTATACCCTTTGCTTATCATTTACTTGCTTCAGCTATTTCACAACAAGAACCAGGTTTCAGTGAAAATTGAGACATGTCACTCACTGAGCATGTCTCTTTAATTATCTAGACAAGTCATCCTCAGAAAATGGAAAATTTGAAACCAGATAAGAAGCTAACACATAAACTACTATGTAACCCAAAATTATTAGGACTATAGACGAAGCTCTTATTACCAAAATCAGATACATGTGAGGAGTCATATGTCTTTTGAGAATCCTAATTTGCATCAATCAGTCAACTTGTAACTAATTAACACCATATGGTAACTTGGTAAGACACTTTAATGTTAACCATTCTCCCTGACACACATACACACTCTCACATCACAGTCACACGTTTGAATTTCTGCCTGTGCAGCTAAAACCTGTGAGCCACATCTTAGCCACTATGTGCAGATAACAAAAGAGTATACATTCTTGCCTCAAAAAAAAAAAAAAAAAAAAAGCGTATACATTCTTCCACAAAAGAAACATAGATTGATGATTTGAGAACAGCTGGAAAGCTTCAAAGGTAAACATACCACGACTCTCAACCTATCACGAATCTCTTTCACACAGGAATCACCCACGCTGGCCAATTGCTCAAGACAAGCCAATCCATACCGCACGAACTCGTTAGGCTTAACATCTGAAAGGTCAAATACCTGAAATAACCAATAACCAACAAATAGAAAAAGGTTACTATTATAGAAACAATCTTAATCACCAAAAGAGCCAACCAAAAGCACCTCCATATATATGTACTTTTTTTAAAAAATAAAAAATAAAAAAAAGATGCTTAAAACCATCACAATTCACGACAATCACTTACCAAGTATATTCTTAGCTAGCAAATCCAAACAAGTATACAGCACAAAAGGCCAAAGAGTAAATAGTGCCAACAAGTACATCAAACCAATAGATAACTTTGTCTGCTCAAAATCTAGCTGGGTAATCTAGAGAATTACGTAGTAAATAAAATCTAAAAATCTAACATTCTGATGAACAAAACTACGAATTGTTGAGCTTTTTAGTAATCTTGCCAGCACAGTTTAGAGGCAAATCATTACAATATCAGTCGTTACAGCCTGACTTCAGCATTTCATCAGCCACTCAAATCTTACAGCGTTGCAGATAAATCCAACAAAACCTAATAAATGTTGTCATAATGAAACTTTTTTTCTAGGCACTCAAAGTGATAGATATCCGCCCCTTGATTAGATTCCTACTTCTAGCATTTATTCCTCACATAATAGAGAGAAGTAGGAATCTAATTAAGGGACGGAAAGAGTAAGATAATAAAGCATCAATTCATCAAATATGATATCTTAACTTCAAGCAAACATATATCCACTAATACAACACAAACCTAGCCAGTATCTTTTCAGAAAAACAAACCTTTCAGGCTCCATTAATTCTCAAGAACCATGGTGCACCACAATATATCACAGTGAGCTGCTTTACAGCCTTGAAAGAGGCACAGTGATTAAATGATTCAGATAGATTAACTTCAACCTGAACCAGGGTTAAAGGTAACAGGTAGAGACGATAACTATCCAACATAACCACAGATTCTCCACTAGCCTGCAGAACCATATAACTATCCAATCTCCAAGATCTTGACTTCTATGTACTGCATACTCTTTACAGGTTATCTTAAATGCCAACTCAAAACAAAATTGTAAGTCGACGTAGTGTCCGATCATCTCTTTCACCTAATTAGTAAGATCTAATTGGTTCCTTTGAAACCCAAAATATGCACTCTGAATGCCAAACATAATGGATGAATGTATCTCATTCACAAAGGAGTAACAAATTCATCAATCAAAAACCCACAAATCCATGTCAAGTTAGGTAGCTAGTGGTTCACCAACTAAACTCTTCCAGGAATCTAACCATAAAAACACTATATAATCCTCTGATAAAACCCATGATCATAGTTCCATTCACCTCGAAAACCTGATCCAACTTGCAGCAACTTCCTCCCAAGAAGACTCACAAAGACCCCCCACAAACTTTACAAACTCATAAATCTATAGGAATCCAAGAATTAAATCATTACAAAAATACCAGTAGTTTTCTCTCAAAAAAAAAAGCATTATAAAATAAACCTCTCAAAAAAAAAAAAAAAAAAAAGGAAAAATTACAAAAACCAATATTACTCACTGATAACACAACACATGAACACCGAAAAGCTCATGAAAAACACTTCATATCATATCAAAATTAATCCATAAATTCACACATGTCATCAACCATCATCTTACAGCACCACCGACACCCACCAACCAAATACCAGTAGTTTAAAAAAAAAATTAAAAATTAAAACTTTCTCTTCCCTCCAATCTTAAAATTTCAATCACACTTCAAAAAACCTTACTTCCCTCTCTTTCTCCACATATCAACTCCAAAGTCCAATCCATACTTAATACCCCTATTAAAAATATACTCCCTCTGTCCCATTATAATTGGAAAACAAACAAGAAATACTCCCTTCATCCCAGAATAATTGGAACACGATGTACAAGTAATTCAATCAAATTTTATTTTATTTTATTTTTTAAAAAAAAAAAAAAAAAAAAAAAAAAACCAACCCAATTCACTCATTTATCAAAACCAACACAAAAACCAAATTTAAACAAAACCCAACTCAAAAAATCAAAACTTAATCAAAACCCCACAAAAAAAAAATTAAAAAAAAAAGTGAGGAGAGAGAAAATTAGACCTGTTCTTCACTCATTAATTGTTGAAGCCGTAACATAAGTTCAGGACCATGTCTCCCACCACTTCTGGAATTGATAAACACAACCATCGGAGCAACCGGCGGCGTATGAACTTCTTGCGCCGCCGCTGATTCAACCCCAGCAGAAACATCCTTCGAATTAATCGCACGACGCATTGCTAACCTTATATATTCGGGGATCAAAATCCGACAACGAAGCTCCTCTTTATCAATTCTAATTCCAGATAATCCGCAACCTCTTAATGAATCAATCATTGATGATCTTGCTGCGGTTGTTGTTGTTGATGATGATGATGATGATGTTTTGCCGCTTGAATCTGTTACTGACCCACCTTCGCCGGAAACCACTGAGTTGGTGGCGGAGGAGGAGGTGGTGGTGGTGGTTGTGGGGTCCATTCTCTCTCCTCCAAACGTCGTCGTTTTGGGGGAATGAGGAGAGAGAAAATGGGGGGTTGAAATGGGGTTTTTGATTGGGTTGTGATGGAGGATTGGTGACAGCCCGGTGAGAGAGAGAGGGGATGAAGATGGTAATGGTGGTTTTCACTTTCAGTTTTTTTTTTTTATGGATATTATTATTATAATCTATAATTTTAGAAGTTATATTTAATGTTTTTGGTGATGAATTTACTGTTTTGCCCTTGGTAGTTGGAAGTTATTACAATGGAAAATTGATTAGTACCGTTGAACATTTATATGGAAGCGAATCCAGCTACAGTGTGGTGTGGTTGTGGCTTGTGGGGCCATTTTTGCTTAAAATTCTTTGATTTAAAAATAATTCGATTCATATTTATTTTTTAAATTTTTTGAGAAATACTTTCACATTCCCCTTGATATTGTAATAGTTACTCGTACTATTTAACAAAGTTTTACAAATATTACTCCCTCTGTAGGGATGTCAGTGGGGCGGATCAAGTAGGAGACCCGCCCCATTGGGGCGGGGATGGGTTTCGGTTTGGCGGGTGGTGGGGCGGGGATTGGGATAAAAACCATACCCGCCATAGGTGATGGGGCGGAGGTGGATTTTAAGTTGTACCCGCCCCATCTCCGCCCCGCCCCACCCGCCCCACTTCGTACCCGCCCCATCCCCACCTCATACCCACATCTATATATCTTTTAAAGCAAAATTACATACTTTTATTCTATTTATAAAATAATTACATGAAATACAATATTAATTATAATACTTTGTACGACACTTATATTATAACACAAAAATGTGTATAGAATGTTATTTTATAATTCGTATTAATTATGTAAGATTGTGTATTTGAGGTACGGATATTAGGTGGATCTTGGGTGGGGATTAGGCGGGTCTTTGGTGGGGATTAGGTGGAATGGATATCCAAGTGGGGGGTGGGGCGGGGATGGTTTTGGAGTTGTACCCGGTGGGGCGGGGATGGGGATGAAAATTGGACCCGCCGCGGGGATGGGGATGAAATTATTAGGTGGGGATGGGGATGGGGATGGGGATGGAAATGCCAACATCCGCCCCGCCCCGCCCCATTGACATCCCTATCCCTCCGTTTTTAAATACTTGTTTCATTTCTATTTTTTACACTATTTATTTGTCCTACTTTGACTAAGGGTATGTTCTCTTCCGTTGAAACTCAGATCAGTTCAGTTCAATTCATCTCTTAATTTATGTCTAATGATATTGCTAATGATATAAAGTCAAATTTCATTCTTTTAAGCTCTTATTACAACGACGACGACGACAACAACAATAAAAATAATAATAATAACAACAACAACAACAACAACAACAATAATAATAATAATAATAATAATCAATAAGTAATTATTAATAATAATAATAATAATCATCAATAAATAATAATAATAATCATCGATAAATAATAATAATAATAATAATAATCAATAAATAATAATAACAATAATAATAATACTAATAATAATAATCAATAAATAATAAATAATAATAATAATAATAATAATAAACATTAATAATAATAATATTATTATTAATAATAATAATATTGATACAATTCATTGTTCAAATGGTTCTATAGTATATTTTTAATATATTTTCCATAAATTTTATAATTATATAGTATATTTTTCGTAAATATTTTAATATGTACATTTGTATATACACATATGTATAGTAATAAATTATCAATAAATAATCAAAGATCATTAATACGTAGTTAAAAATCACTAATTAATAAGTTCAGTTCAGTCAATCGGAACAGGCCCTAATGTTTGCGATTTATACGTAAGAAAAGATATAGTCTTGTGGGTACTAGTTGGAATCATCTCAATGAATAGATTATTAATTTTCAATTGTTAGAATTTATACTTATTGATGATTAAAGATATTAGCTAGTGATCAAAGATTAGCATCGGCATGTGTGTCCAAGAGAAATGGAGCAAGAATTTAAAAAACGGAGGGAGTACAATTCAACAATACTAATATACTTCCTCTGTTTCTTTTTAGTTGACACGTTTCTTTAGTCACGTTTGTCAATATACTTATTCAATCATTAATATCTTTAATTATCGATAAACAAAAATTATTAAAAGTTGATATTTTAAAAGTACATAACGTGACGAATCTAACAAGATCACACTTGACTATATTTTTCATTATGTATAAAGCACAAAACACAGTCAAAGAGAGGTGTGTGAATAGTGCAAAAGTCAATACGTGTCAACTAAATAAAAACGGGGGTAGTATATATGTTTATATATATGCACATGTGTATCTCTCTCCTTCCCACATGGATCCTTACTTCCTAATTCCTTTAAGAGTGCTAATTCGGTGAGTCAATCATGAGTAGAGGGTTGCTCAACTCATGTTCAGCTCAACTCATGGGTCCAGCTGAATCGATCACGAGTTGCTTGTTTTAAGGTTTAGGTCTCTTGAATTTCAAATATTTTTGGATTATATATTATTATATTTATATAATTTTTCCTACTTAAGCATATTATTTTAAAATTATAAAGTGTTAAGATAAATTTTTGTTTTTAAAAGATAAGAGAATAGAAGAATATTGAATTTTTTGTACACTTACCGAGTTTCAAGCAGATTCGAGCGAGCACGAGCAAATTCGAGTCGAGTTTTGACCGAGCGTTGACCAAGTCCGGTAGCACCCCTAGCCTCTATCTTTAATTCTCTCTATCTCTCTTTCCATCTAAATTCTTGTTGTTGCAATATTAATAGAACGGATAAATTATACAATTAGTCCGTAGGATTTAAGAGGTCCTTTTCTGGAGAGGAACAATGGTGTATCATGTTAGAAAATTAAGAGTTGTGGATCAACATAAGATAATCAATATGCTGTTTTATTTGGTTATATATAATGATGATGCTATGAGTCTCCCATACAAAAGAATCTACTACGTAAATACTTGCCTTTTTAAAAACTCAGGAAAAACTCTCTCTCTATATATATATATATATATATATATATATATATATATATATATATATATTATCTCCGTTACAGGTTATGTGTAACGATTTGACATAAAGCAGAGAGGAAAAATGTCTAATCGTTGCACATAACCTGTAACGGAGGTAGTATATTAGATTTGTGTGAGATATTGCTTGGAAAAATAATATTTTGTCATAACAAGGTGGTATCTAATGAAAGGTTAGATCTGTCTTGTAAGTGTCAAATCATGTACATTACAAAGTAGAGTACTTTAATTTAGTACTCGGTACTATTATTGTGAAGTGATCAATCTAAAAGGATAACTCGAGACATTAATACTTGAAGTTTAGCTACAAATACTCAACAAGGACAACTTATTTAGAGTGAATCTACCTTATAATTGAAATTTAACTACAAATATACTAAAAAAAGACGGCTTATTTAGAGTGTATCTACATCATCATCTACTATATATCACTCTTACTTCAATAACAAATTCTAGTGTGGTGTCACTAGTGTGTATCATTAGCTACATTTAATTAGATTTTACCTAAAACATTTAATGTGAAGACAACTTAGAATATGAATATATATACATCATAAATATTCTATGCAATATAATTTTGGTATATTTTGGGAAATGATGTATTTCCCATACAATACTAGTGATAATGTATAAACAATACAGAGTACCACGTAATTGTTTATAGGAAAAATTGATTTTAATAATTTTAATTTTGACTGATTTTCTTTAAATGGACCCAACTTTTGCTGATTATTCTGGAATAATCTCAACTCTATAAATTATAGATATCTTCTTATAATACTCCGAACATTTATTTTTGTTATACATAATGTTAATAGTCCCAAAAGAAATTAATAAAAGCAACAAAAATAACATTTCGGATTATTTAAGGAAGATACCTATAAGTTGAGATTATTCCAAAATAATCAAAAGTTGGGATCATTTGAAGAAAATCGATTAAAATTGGGATTATTAAAACCAATTTTTCTTGTATATTATGATAATAAGCGTATGAGCAATTTTACTATACGCACTTTTATTTTATTCAACTTAATTATTGTCGATTTTTGTTCAACTATATAATTACGGGATCTGAGTTGTGGGGGAGCCTGCTCGCCTGGTCAAACTGAGTCCTGCAAAACAATGAAAGTCAATTGCCTCGGGGGGTGTTCCCGAGAAAGCCCCTCTGACGTTCAAGTCAGTCAACGGTATTTAGAGAGAAAGTTTGTAGAGAGAGTCGATAAAATTAATTACCTCGCTAATTTGTGAAGATTAGTATTTATAGGAGATGATTAACTAACTTGATTAGGGTTAGGATTAGGGTTTCTGGCCGTTGTGGGCTGTATTACGCTCTGTTGGGCTATATTAGGGTTTCTCGGGGTGCATGTTGTGCATGATTATGGAGTGTTCTCGTTTAGGGTTTAGTAAGGGTATTTCGGGAATTTCTGTATTTTATGGGCATGGGCCCACAAGGGCGTCCAAACACTTATTATCTCCAATTACATTCAATTCTCCATTAATTGATTGGATAATTACAAATATTTTCTTTATACTTTAAACTATTTCATGTATGAGACAATATTTTTCACATTTATTTTATCATACGTACATCTAATATTCTAATAGTCTTAATGATCTATACTTGTATCCTTTATGGTGTAATCACGAACAATTCGTAATAAGGGACTACTTACAACATGTTTCCCATGTTGAATATTGGAAATTTTGTGTTTACAAAAAAGAGACATTTTTTTTTTTTTTTTTTTTTTTTTTTTTTTTTTGAGGGAATTTTAGAATAGTCTTTGTTGCATGAATTCCCTTTTCTTCTCGAAGGTCCCTATTAAGGACAGTGACGGTTTAAATGGAGCATTGCAATTTGCAGCTATTGGCCTATTATATTGGTCCCAAATAGCCAAAATTATTACTCCAATGATAGTGATTTTATTGTTAATTATTCACGTTTATCTTGATTTTTTATTACTTATTATATTTTCATTATTAATATAATACAGTTATTCAGCATTTCATGCATTTTATGCCTAATATAATGAGTTGTAGTAATTGGTACTCGTATTACTTGTGGGACGTCTTTCCCTGTACAGCAAGTATATGTATTTTAAGGTGACCCTTTGTGTCATCGGAGATTAGCTTGGGGTCCCACGAGGCCAAATGATGTAATTAGTACTATATAACTACCCAATTGTTCTTTAATACTTGTATTTTAGACTAAATTAGTGTCATCATTAACGACTAATTTAGTCCTTTTTTTTTGACAAAAAACGACTAATTTAGTCTAGAAGATTTAAAACAATTATCAAAATGACCATTTAAAATAAATTATGTTGGCCTTATGAGGAATTAGGATCAACTTTGGCTATTATTATTGACTTGACCAATGATGAAGCCGCCATGTGGTTTGTTAGTACATTTAAGACCACTTTGTATATTATTTAGGCCATGTTCTCTTCATCTTAAAAAAATAATATTAAGTAAAAATAATTTCAGTTCAGTAAAAATAAGTTCAGTTCAGTAAAATTAATTTCAGTTCAGTAAAAATAAGTTCAGTTCAGCAAAATTCAGTTTTCTTAAAGAAGAATTATAATAGAAAATCAGTAAAAATAATTTAATTTCAGTAAAAATAATTTCAGTTCAGTAAAAATAATTTCAGTTCAGTAAAAATAAGATCAGTACAGTAAAAATAATTTCAGTTCAGCAAAATTAAGGTAAATCAAACAGGGTCTTACTCCATTGATAAATATGGAGGCATAATGCAATAGAGTGCAATATGGGTTTTAAAAAAATAAAATAAAAATTAATTTTTGGTCCCACGTGAGAAGTTGGGTGGGTAGTAGCATAATAGCATGCCCGGCAACCGTATCTCGGGTTTTCAATTTTGATACCATTGCATTTGATACCTTACCCACCTAGTCTTCTCAACATTTACAATCTTTCAAATTTCCTTGAATTAAATATTCAATTCTTGATCTCGACCTACATAAAATACTCATTTTGCAATACAATCTTAACCTCGTTCCTGATTACATACTCATACCACTCTGCAAACCAAACGTCCGATAAACGTTCAAAATAAATAATTGTTTTGCAGTGTAATTGCATGTAGTTAACCAACTAAATTGATCAAAACTCTTTTTAGCAAACAACTAACGCATAATTATTACTCCACAACTTTGATAAAATCTACCTAATGAAGTGCATTGTGGAAACTCAATACTTAAGAAAAAGAAACATCATAAAAAGAGGGAAAATTTGTAAATTGCAGTTATTTAAAGTTCGTATTTTGCAAATTGCAGCCATTAAATTTTTTTTTTCAAATTGCAGCCCAAAAATTCGTATAAATTGTAAATTGCAGCCCGATTCAATTTTTTCATCGGTTTACATGTTGAAAAATCTTCGGTTAAGGTTTTAGGGGTCATTTTAGGTCTTAGTGAACCGAATTGAGCTCGGAATCAGCAAAAAAATAACGTAAGTGTCTCATATTTATAGTTTCCCACAAATCGATACATTTTTGTTACGCAAAACGAGATACTTACGTTATTTTTTTGCTAATTCCGAGCTCAATTCGGGCCCTTAAGGGCTAAAATGACCCCTAAAACCTTAGCCAAAGATTTTTCAACATGTAAACCGATGAAAAAATTAAATCGGGTTGCAATTTACAATTTATACGAACTTTTGGGCTGCAATTTGCAAAAAAAAATTTAAATGGCTGCAATTTGCAAATTTTCCTAAAAAAAGATGATAATAGGGCACATGATCAAATGTGTTGAAACTTGAAAAGATCACTTAATATTGTCACAAACAGTGAAACAGGTACAAGTTACAACATTGTATGGTTGATGACTTGATGATGGTACGCAAAAATAAATTCGGAGTATAGCAGTATGATTCTTTCTTTGAAATTCCTCAAAGTTTAGCTTTATTAATTACAACCTTCAGCCAGATCCAACCGACTTGCAGACTAAATTAGTACTAGTAGTTTAGATTACACTATCATTGTGTGATGATAAGTATTTTCGAAAAAAAAAGGAGTATTGGTTCACAATGAATAGTTTAAATCATACGAGTACCATAATTTTGTGATGACAATTATTTTCAAACAAAGAGTTTTAACTCTCGGAAAAAGAGAGTATTGGTTCATAATCAGTAGTTTTAGGGCCTATTTCGATTAACTGAATTGAGCTGAACTGAACTGAACTAAACTGAATTTTTAAGAACTGAACAGAACTAAATATTTTATGAGAGAAGAAAATTAAGAACTGAATTGAACTGAAAATAAACTGAAGAGAACAGACCCTAAATCATACGAGTACCATAATTTTGTAATGACAAGAATTTTCAAACAAAGAGTTTTAACTCTCAAAAAAAGAGAGCATTGGTTCACAATCAGTAATTTAAATCATACTAGTACCATACTTTTGTGATGATAAGTATTTTCAAATAAAGAGTTTTAACTCTCGAAAAAAAAAGAGTATTGGTTCACAATTAGTAATTTAAATCATCGAGTACCATAATTTTGTGATGACTAGTATTTTCACACAAAGAGTTTTAACTCTAAATTACGGAATAGTAATTAAGTTGCTCTATCATTATGTAAAGACAAGTAATTTAGAACAGAGAGATTATTATTTCGCAATCATGATTAGTCTTGTAATTAAATAAAACAAAATTTGCAGTTGGTCATCATAGTTGGCTGGCTATTGAAATAATAAGTTAATGACTTGATGTTTTCTTGACAAAGAATATGGCCACCTTAAAAAAAGGGGCCAAAAGAATATTCTTGTTCATTTCAAGATAATTTGTATTACATTTTTGTAATCTAGTTATATATTTCTAATGCCATTTTCCTCTCCCTTTTTGTACTTGATTTTTTTCTTTAAGACTTTGAAAATAATATTTTTCCTAACTTGGGGGCAGGGGTTAGAAGACTTGGAACTTAGAAGGCAATTGACAATAGGTGTTTTATATCTCTAGTTTTAGCAAGCTAAATTTCTAGAATATAGGAAAAATTCTAAACTAGATTGCGAAGTAACTTTTGATTCATCAAAAATAAGGGGAGAAGTAAAACAATTCACAAAATGAGACACATCACTTATGAGAACATTATTCTACCCGGCTAACTTGTAGATACTTTTAAGAGACGTATAGATATGTTTGGTTAATAACTTTGTATCGATTTACTATGAAATTCAACCTTGAAATTTAGTATACTGATTGATTTTGATCTAAGACTGAAACTTATCCCCGACCCTTACTATGTTTGGCTTAGCCTTTCGGTATTAGAAAGAAGCAGCCATCTCGAAGCTTTCAAACACAATCAACTTGTGATGCTTCAACCTCTTCCACACTAGATCAGGGTAGGAGTAACTGCTTCTCGACGAGTTTTCAATCCTGATGAAAGACAAGGAAATTGTAGTTGATTCTTTCCTAAGAGTTTATCTAACCGTCGCCTTAGGAAAGGATTGTGTATGCATAAGTTATTCAATGACTACAAATTTGGTGTAAATCTTTCTATTACAAAGACTACTTTTTTGCTCAATTGTCATAAACAATAAAGAAGTTGCGGTGTATCTATCATCAAAGAGAGGAACAAGCAAGAGGTTAAAAGTGCATTTCTTTCTTTCAGAAAAGATGCCAATTTTTCCTCCAGCGGCCCAAGTAGAAAGATTAACAAACATCATTCATTTTGAGCTTATTAATTAAAAAGGCTCTTTTTCTTATTAGGCAAATGCTATATGCAGCCCTTAGGGCTGCATATAAGCATTAATTAGATATAAGATGCCCTTATATTTCCAATAATATAAATACAGTTCTCAATTAACTAATTTTATGATTCCAAATAAAATATTTAATAACACTAAGTTTTGGCTAATAAAAAGGGGGAAAATTTGGCGCCATATTCTATTAAAATTTTGCATCCCTTCAGTTTCCATTATATGGTCTTGTCAAACATAAAATTCCATTAATGGACATCAATCAACATTCCATCAAAATTTCTTCTGACAAATAAATCCTATCAAAGTTACTGTTAATTTGGGGCAAAAGGCATATCAAGAACCCACTAGTATGTATATATGTTTTTTTTATCACTTTTGACTAAATTAATTCTTTCTCCCCCTTTTTATCTTTTCTCATGTTTTTAATTTCTCATAATCTAAATATGAAACGTTAAGCATGTTTCTTATCTTCCCTAAAAAAAAAAAAAAAAAAAAACCATGTTTCTTATCTTTTCTCATATTTCTAATTTTTTATCCTATTATTTGTGTGCATTTTAATTTTATCTAAGAAAGGTATGGTTGAATTTCTTTTTTTTTTTCGTATATATATATATATATATATATATATATATATATATATATATATATATATATATATATATTTTCGGTAAGATGGTCCAGAGCAAGGGAAAATCTTTCTCGAGAATCTTATACTGTCCAGACCTGCAATCAAAATATCATAATATTTCCAACATCACAACAATTTATAGGAAAACAGACTAAAGGATAAACAACAGCCTACGACCTGTTTCTGCAGTATCCTTGCAAAGTTGTCCAACCATTGTGTTAGTATAATAGGAAAAACTAATGAAGACTGGAAAGCATGACTAATTATCCAAGTTTGTCCTTCCACATTGTATAATTGCACCGGTTTTGATTACTTCTAGGAACATTGGATGCAGGCGCCACACTGTCTACTAGAACATTGCCCTCACAGTCTATCGTATAGGATATTTCTAAGCTTTCCAAATTAAGATGATAAACAATAAGACTAGGATCACATATTTCGCTTACAGGATTGGGGGTTTCTTCACCTTCACCGTCTTCTCCATTTGGAGAAATTTTGGCTGGTTCTACGTTTCCTACTGTCAATATGGATTTATGAGGTCGGTGTCTCTGTGATGATGATCGTATGTCCCATGAAAGAACCTGCTCAATCAATTTCTTCATCTCACTTTGTGATGAATACAAACTGCTTCTCTTCTGAAAATAGATTAGAAAAAGTCAATTACATTGGAAGACTATGCAACTCAAGATCATGCAGACAAGAACATTACAATTCTGGCATTGACAAGCACTCTTATCTATAACTGGAGTAAATTACTCAGTTTCCGAAAAGGCAAAAAGTTGTCAACACTCAGTTTCCGTTGGGCCTACAGCGTTGCCAAAATAAAGACAGGCACATTCTAATCCCAATAAACACGAGGTACCTAAGAGCAATTTTGGAGATAATCTAATACTCGTAATCCATTTTGCGAGTTCATAAATGGAGAAACCCCAGGAATATTTAAAATAATCAACATCTTTTATATTAAGTACTTGTAAAGTTGTAATCAACTAAGCTGTTCTCATAATGCAAGAAGCTTTTCTTATCTTTTAGGACTATAATGTTGGAAATAGGTAATGCAAACGGATTCTCGCGCCCGATCGGGCGGTGGTTCGCCCGACCGGGCGGAGGTGGCTAAGGAAAATAGGAGAACTCTCGCGCACGATCGGGCGGCCCTCGCCCACCGGGCGACGGACTCGAGTTTTTGACGAGCCCGATCGGGCGGCTCTCGCCCGAATGGCTCGCCCGAGGTGGGTTTTCTAGATCGCCCGATCGGGCGGTGGTTCGCCCGACCGGGCGCGACACCAAGTCTGGAAAACTTCATCTCGTGCCCGATCGGGCGGCTGGTTGCCCGATCGGGCCCGCCTTTTTTCCTTAGATCGGTTTGTTTATTTGTTTCCTAATTTTGGGACACATATAAATACGAGCATTGCCTTTCCTGTATTCATAATTTTAATATTATTGAACCCTAAACACATAAACAAAAAACCTACCCTTTGAGATCTGAACAGTTCTTGAGCAATTCCACTCTTCGGGTTCGGGTGCACGAATTACGGGGAGAGTTGCGTTAAACTTGAGGGGCGTGCGTCACTAGGAAACTTGTACCGGTGGTGGCGTATTTCGCTTCTAAGGCAGTGGATTATTGTTCCACGGCGCGACTGTGAGTTGAGATCTTCAATCAAGTATTTTTTCCCTTTCATCTTCTCTATTTTGTTATTGGAATCGACAGGTATTTTACCAACAATTTAGAAGCGAAATAGTATTAATTTATTATACTGTTGATTCCTAGATTTTTCAATTATAACTAGTATGATCGGGATATTTACGATTCAGATGATCATTATTTTTTCGAAATTAATTTGGGATTGTTAAGTCAACGTTCATATTATTTGAAGTTCAAAGAACCCTAATTTTTTAGGGAATATTTAATTAGTGATCAGATAATGGATTCGGAGTGAGAAATTCACAAGAGCAATTAATTTCGGGATCGGCAAAGGTTTATTGTCGAATTTCCGTAACGTTGTATTGCGAATTTGGGAATCATAATCTTTTGATTTTGCTGTACTCCTAATCAAAAAATGAATAAAAAATTCTCCATGTGGTATCATCAAGTCTTGTCTCCATTTTGGACCATAATTCTCTAAAGAATTAAAGAAAAAATAAAATGGAAAGGATGCAATTTCCATTGAAGAGTATCGGTGGAAGTAATGGAATTCTAAAGGTTTTAATTTGGAATATAATTAAAGTGTGCGATTATGATCATGCTATGCGCATCTGTCGTCAAAATCATATACCATGATTTGGTAAAGTTGCTGTCAAGTTGGGCTTAATCTCCTCAAGGTTTAATGTCATGATTAATTTGTTGCGATCAAGTCGGTTATGGGAGATTTATTTGCTATATAAATCTATAATCAAAATTGCAATAAAGTGGATTGATTTCAATATTGTTTGAGATAAAGCCTCGATGACAATTCATCAGTGACGCAGCTAGTGGCGAGATATTATGGCATATGATTATAATCAAGATATCAGATAAGTTATCCTTCTCAATTTATTTAAGTAATTTCTAACTCCATATAATATTTGTGTCTATTATTATGTGCCTCTGTTATATATGCATAATTTAATTATTATGAGCTATTGTTTAGCAATGTGGGGGTGTTTTGAGTTAGATTTTTGTGACTAACTAGTAAGTTAGTTTGTACTCTTGTTGATGAGTGGTATTGAGGAGGAAGGTCTCCGAAAGTGACATTTATCTATAGCTTTTTGCTTGTTGGTTTGCAAGTAATTTATTTCTGCTAATGTATGTTTTGTCCTAGTAGATTAGGGATGACATGTGTTTAATCTTACGATAGTGTTTTGTTGACCTTATTCCCAATCATGGACAATGTTTTGTTGAGCACAGAGTATGTGATAAGCTTGTAAGTGTCCCTTTTTAGATTAAAAAGGGATTTAGAATTATTGTTTCTTTTAATTCTTGTGATCTTAATTTTGTTCACGAACTTGAAATGTATTTAATTTGCTAGAGGTGTAGCAATTATTTTTCTTGTTGATGGTCTAGATGAGACCAAGTTGATTTCCGTACTTATTAGCAGAATAAAAAAGGCTTGACTAAGTAAAGCTAGAATGGTCGTGCAAGTTTGAAGTGTAAGTGCCCCACATGAGGTAAGGATGGGAATTAACATTCTATGTCTTTACAAACTATTAATCTTTTGTGAATGTTAGTATTGTGGGGGTTGCAGATATGTATCAGTTGTTTATTTGTTTAGTAAGTATTTCACCCAAGAATTTGGTTTATACTCCCTAATTTGTTACCTGATTTATGATTATTTTCATGTGGTATCTGTGATGTGGGGGTTTCCAATAATAAAGAATTGACTTCTAGATATGTTTCACGTAAAGTATGAAGGCTTGTGGGACTGTGGGTGATATGTATGCTGAATATCTGCTACGTTTATCATGTACGAGCTTGTTATGTTAAATCCTTGAAATGTCTCAAGTTATATGTTTTCCTGTGACATGACATGTTAGTTTTGCTCGTTCATAGGATTTGTTCTTGCTTCCTAAGCTTTATTCTGCCAGTAAAGTTGATGAGTTCATCATCTAAGGTGTATTGGATTAAAGCTTAAACTAGTGTTATATCATCTTGGTTTTACTTTCTTAATCGAGTTGTATGTAGATGTTTGTTGTGTGGTATATATTCATGTAGTGGTGAATGGAAAAATTCTGAACCATATGGATAAACCTGATTGACTAGTTGTGGAAAGAAGCATGTAAACGCGAGTTGTGCACTCTCTTTGAGTCTGATATGTTTGAGAAGAGTATATCTTTCCTTGCTATTAGAAATCCATCTGTTGTAAGTATCTTTCAAGGTGAGTTGAAAGGTGGTTGATTGGAAATGGGCTAAAGGTAAGATACTATGTTTTTAGGATTTATTTTGTAAGTTTGGTGCTTCAGCTCTTATTACTCACCTGGTTTGTTCTAAGCTTGTTTGATTTGCAGTAAGGTTGCTTAAGCTTCCTAGCATGATTGATTGTAAATCAAGGGTGTGTATTTAAAACGCATACACAGGTGACAACTTAGAAGATGAGGTATTTTTGCTCATGATGTTATATCCTTTGTGATATGTATGGTGAGTGGGGGTTAGATTTGAGTACTCTAACTTGTTATGTTAAGTTTTTCTTGGCATGTGAGTTGAAATTCTCGATGCATGTGTGATGTTACTATGGTTCGCATTGATAGAGTTCATTTGCTAGAATGATCATAAGTTACTAACTTCACATGCATGTTGTTTATTGAGATAAAGATGTATATGTGTCTCTAAGCCAAGAAACAAGTACAAGATAATGAGATGAGCAGAATAGTTCTAGGCAGTATACCAATGAACTAATAAAGATACGCATCAATCTCATTATTGTGATGTAGAGAAAGTGGTTTGGTAATTTATATTTATCATGCCTAAGCCAGAGTTATTTTTATTTTTATTATTTGGCCTTGGTGTTTAATACAAATGTGTTAATGTTTTGCAATCTAAATGATGAACAAACTATTCTTGACGTGTAGTGTTTTTGTTGTGAACTATATTGTTCATTCTGTTTGTTAAGAGAGAATTACTCAATTATTGTCTGAGTTTCAGATAGTTTAGGGATGAAGGTTAAAGTGAGAAAGTTTCTCAAGTACCTATCCAGTAAATTCTAAGAGACAATGATTGAATGAACAACGATGATTAGTTGAACCTCTTCAGTGTATGGCTTTTACATGATGAAGGGCAGTGCTCTGTTTCGAGTGAGCTGCAAAACAAATTGTTGTACACTATCCACTATGAAGCAAAGGTTCATTAGATTGGATGACGTGTGTCAAGAAGATGATTGTTGATAAAATTAATCTCTGGAAGTTTGTCCATTGTGGGGGTAAGGTGATCCTCATGTTCTCTACATTATTTTTCACAAGTGTCTATGTATGTTGTCAGGAACTACAGATGTAGTGACAAAATTAGACAGATCTTGTGGAGGTGATACTCATGTTAGAGTACGTGAAAGTAAAGAAGAATCAAGCAGGTCCTTATACTAGGATGAAGCACAGGTAAGTGCTTGATTGTCTAAGAGAATATATTTAAGAACCTGTGGGGTATTTTAAATTATTCTAGTGACGAAGTTTAAAAGATGAGTCTACGTTTGGAAGTTATCTTGATAACCCTCTAATTTATATGGTTATGAGATACTTTGATAGACTTTTTGCTTGATGTTTACAGGTTGAGCTTTAAGTGCTCTTAATATGTCCATAACCCAGGTTGGGTGGTCAATTGAGACGGCTTACATGGACACACCGAAGTGTTGTAATTTATTGAACTTTTGTTCTGAATGGGTCTAGAGCCTTGTTTTGGTTAACTCATTGTTGGATTTACACCATTTATGTTTATTGAATCTATAATTTTTTTTTCTATTTAGTAAGGTTGAGTCTGGCTCTTAATTTATTTGCCCAGTGGCTCTTAGAGTAGGATTGAAAATGACACCGAAGGTGGAAGGTTGAGCATTGCTTGCTCTTAATACTACTAGCCCAGTTGCTTGAGAGTAGGAAACGACAGTGATCCTTAAATGCATTAGAATCACTAGCCCTGATACTTCTCGAGTAGGGAACGATAGTGGTACCGAATGACTGAGGTTGGGAGTATCCCTTAATGCATCTAGCCTAAGAGCTCATTGAGCAGTGGATTGATAGATGCACCGTCGAGTTGATAGGGTTGAACTTTTCGTTCTTAATGTTCTTATTCTATTGCACAGAAAAATCTTGGGTTTGCAAGGTGCTTGAATGTGTTTTAAGCCTGCAAGGAAAGACCCTAGATGTGCTGGGAATGTGTATTTATACACAGACAGAACACCTACGTGAGTACGAGGGGTGGCCTCCTTCAAAGGAAAATTGTGGTGTAGTTTTCCTGAATTACTCATGAGAGCCCAAGGTGTAGGCCAAGATTGGCGGAGTTGCTTAAGCTCTAAAGTCAAGGTATGTGTATTCAAGGTCCCTTCCTCGCTCCTAGGAGTTCAAATCTTAAGATACTCACTAGGGAAGTGTTGAAAACCTTGTGCACTGATGTGTTAGTTCAAACCTTTGGATACTAGCATTTAAGTACTAAGACTTTCATTTACTGTTCAGATTTCATGTTGAAGATCCGCTCGCATTAGTGGGGGATTGTTGGAAATAGGTAATGCAAACGGATTCTCGCACCCGATCGGGCGGTGGTTCGCCTGACCGGGCGGAGGTGGCTAAGGAAAATAGGAGAACTCTCGCGCCCGATCAGGCGGCCCTCGGCCGACCAGGCGACGGACTCGAGTTTATGAAGAGCCCGATCGGGCGGCTCTCGCCCGAATGGCTCGCCCGAGGTGGGTTTTCTAGATCGCCCGATCGGGCAGTGGTTCGCCCGACCGGGCGCGACACCAGGTCTGGAAAACTTCATCTCGCGCCCGATTGGGCGGCTGGTTGCCCGATCGGACCCGCCTTTTTTCCTTAGGTCGATTTGTTTATTTGTTTCCTAATTTTGGGACACATATAAATACGAGCATTGCCTTTCCTGTATTCATAATTTTAATATTATTGAACCCTTAACACATAAACAAAAAACCTACCCTTTGAGATCTGAACAGTTCTTGAGCAATTCCACTCTTCGGGTTCGGGTGCACGAATTACGGGGAGAGTTGCGTTAAACTTGGGGGGTGTGCGTCACTAGGAAACTTGTACCGGTGGTGGCGTATTTCTCTTCTAAGGCAGTGGATTATTGTTCCACGACGCGACTGTGAGTTGAGATCTTCAATCAAGTATTTTTTCCCTTTCATCTTCTCTATTTTGTTATTGGAATCGACAGGTATTTTACCAACATATAAAGCTGACAAGGTTACCAGCATAGAAATAGTATTTTTGTAGAGATGATGGATATACATACCACTGATTCCCAACAATCTGCAAGAGCAGAGTGGAAGCTCTCAGAGAAAATAACAGAAGCCACAGCTAATAAGCTGTCTTCCTGCAAGATCAAGGAGAGAATTAGGATGGTTTTAATTCAAATCATTGACATATATATTATGAAGATGGAAGGACACACAACTTAAACAAAATAAACTCATATTTTCAGTATGCCTCTGATATCTCAAAGTCATATCAGAGATTACAGTCAGAGAAAAGGTGCTTACATCAATACAGTCAAGGATCTCATAGATGCAATGCCAACATTTTAGTAACCAAAGCACATTTAATCTAAAACAAGGAGAACTAGTGACAGCAAACTTTGGAAAAAGATTATAACATTCATCCAGCTAATTGGTAACATGCAAAATTCAATTGTTTACTCTCTAGCACGCTTATAATCAGAAGAATGACTAGGACATAAAAGGAACCAATAAGGGACTAGTAAAGGGGATGGTAGCCTTTCTATGTAAACCAGAAAATTTTCAGGAGTCAAGAATCTCATATCTTGCATGCCAGCCATGTGTAGCTTGAACTCATGAACAGTCAACAAGCATAACAATTAGCATGGAGTAGCAGGGTTGAAACTTGAGAGATGAAAACAGTAATCTCATTTCAGGGGCACCAGGAGAAGAGAGATTGTCAGACCTGTCAGTTTAACTAATATTAAAATGCCTCAATTCCTAAAAACTCCTTCCAGACTAATCAGCCTATAAGATAACTATCCTCACTTAGGTCTAAAGATAAAATCCGACAGTGACTAAGGACAGAAATATTGTCTTTCAAGATTTAGCCTTGAAACCAAACAAAGAACCAAAGCAGGACCAGATGATCATATATAAAATTTCTAATTCCTCTCTGAGAGTCAAGAAGATTAACATTTTCAAAAATATGTAAGTAAACCATCAGAGAAAATTTACCTTAACCCATTCTGGCACCATTGAATCTTGGATGCTGTCACAATATGGAAGATAGGGCTTCACATCCAGTACTGGCTGTCACAATTTTACATAAACTCAAATGCCACTTAAAGCCACCAAAAACTTTAACCACCACCTCAGGCCCTCAGCCCTAGCAGAAAATGCAAGGATTGTAGCACTTACTGTTCCATCTACCAAATCAACACCAGAAAGTAAAATCATGTGTCCTTGTACAGCCTCGATCTGGAGAATGAAAACAATTGCTACCTAAGTTAGCATGTGCTACTCAGTTCAGTTACTTGCAGAATTGAATCGTATTAAGGCCTAAGGACATAAATATTTAACCTATCCTTCTCACTCTACCAATAAAATCATGTTTGTTGACTTGCTTAATGTTTCTAGAACATTTAGAAAGTTCTTGGACCTAGCAGGGGATGCAGAGACTATGTAACATTTTCCTCAGGGAGGATACAATCATTCAAATTTCCTTCACAATGTCTTTGACACCTCTTTGGCTAATGAAACTTATACTCTTAAAATAGTTTGCAACCAATCCCTATATGTTTTGTTCCCTAACAATTTTGTAGATACTCTCTTTGAACATTATTCATGCATCTATCCTAAATGTTCCTCTTAAACAAAAAGAACTACATTAAAAAGGGAGGATACTTGCCTTAGCAACAGTTAGACCAATTGGACTGGGACGATGGGGGGTTCTTGTTGCATATACTCCTTTTTTGCCTCCTTTTAATCGTGGCACCCTCACCTAATCGTTCATATAACAATTGTTAAATACTGAGAGAGGGGGGGGGGGGGGAGGGGGGGGGGTTGGAGCCATAACTAACGTGGTGCTGGTAATATATATAGTGCGAACCTTGGCTTTGATCTTCGATCTGGAAGGCTCTAACCACAACTTATCCAAATCAGTATTTAAGTGGAACACATATATAATCCAAATATGAGAATACTCTTCAAGACCTTCCAAAGATGCCGGAGGAACCCTCATTGGGTCAAACATCAAACATGCTCGAGCAAGTGGCACCAGCAAAGGTTGTCTAGGCGTACCATTCCTACAGTAAATATGATTGGTACTGTTATTTAAGTTAATGGTAAACTAGAAGCATATCTCACAATTTCGCTACACCAGTACACCTTAAAAGATCATTTGAGTTTTGCCGATACTTGATCACCAAATCCTACGCATAACTCATACTTGCAACTTAATAGTTTCTACAGCAGTTATTACAAGGAAATAATTAGGCAAGCCTGGTTACACAATCCCTTATCATTTGCACTCATCCAATATTTAGTTTTTAGCCATAAGCTAGTTGAATATTAACATTTACTTTACACTTATCACCTCCTCAAAATTGCTTCAAGTTCTGGCCCACAAAATCATTAAGTACCTGGTTGAGAAGCAAGATTGGACTGTACCAATCGGAATCATGGGATAAGATGTTGGATCCATATTCTCTGTCTTCTGTTGCAGAAGTGCCTTCCTCAATTCCTAGAGAAATATCCAATGAAACATCAGGGGCCTCACGAATCAATAAAACCAAAAGAAATCGTCAACATTCTATGCATCAACCATCATACAACAATGTCATATTATAATGCAAATATCAATGATACAAGCCAACATTTCTAATCATTACACTTCAAAAACATATGCTACGGATTTCTGAGTACCAGAAACATTAATTAAATGAGTCAATGTTCTTCAGCAAGAATTCAACTCAAGAATGAAAGGGGCCATATCATACAAATTGGTTTGCCCTCTTCCATTAGACTATTTACATTACATCCCATTGAATTGAACAACTGTATCATTGGAGTCATCATTGTACATAAAATCAGTTCATTCAGTAGCTTTCTTTTCTTGTTTTTCATTCACAAGTCACTTGTAAAACTACTCCCTCCGTCCCTAAATTACATTCCTACTTCTAGCATTTATTCCTCACACAATAGAGAGGAGTAGGAATGTAATTTAGGGACGAAGGGAGTACAAAAAAAAAAAAAAAACCATCCAAGAGCATTCAAATGGGTAGCTGCAAATATAAATGAACTTCTCAGACAGTCAGACCCTATGTATCAGTTCAAAATGTGGGGTTCGGATTCGGATTCCGGTTCGGTCTCGTATGCAATCATAAACAATATCATTCAAAGTTTTCAAACCCATCAATACATTCATAATTGAAATTATCAATCAAAACCTCAAAAAGACAAGAAATTTATAATCAAAATATTCATAATTGAAATTATCAATCAAAACTTCAATGTAAGATCAACCTGTTGAGCTCTAATTCGGCCTTGTCGTTCAGCAGCACATTTATCAACAGAAGATTTAAGAGATGCCTCCAATTCTTTGACATTTGATTCCATGGCTCTCCATTTTTTTCCCAGTATAAAAAAAGCTGCTCAAAATATAAAAACAAATACATATAAGAAGACATTAAAGATGCAATCTTGAAAGAGAGTAAGATAGAGAAGCACCAGTAATGGCTGCAACAGAGAAAGTTAAGGTGAAGGTGGTGGGTAGCCATTGTGATGTTGCTGTGGAGTCGCCCATGAACTTAAGAAAAGTGGGTTCAGGGTTTTGCGTAAAGAGAATAGTTATGTACTTATGTAAGTTATGTTATATGGCCATATGTGTTTAGAGAGCCTCAACACTCGTGGCTTGTTTGTTCTAGTATTTGCGGGTCTGGTACTTGGAACATTGAGAATAGAAGGGACAATAAGGGAATTTCTACACACAAGGGATACGAGGTAAGAGTCTTATTAAGTGAACCAATACTTTATTGGTGTAAGATTGTCAATTAAAAAGTAACAACTTGACTACGAGAAAATACAAGTTTAAAACTGATGAACAACAAGAAGTACATACGTAAATTATAGCTAACTTTAGTTAACTACTATTTTCTCTCTTTCCTTAACTTTCTCTCTTCTCCTTCAACCTTCAATTTCAATGGTGGAAAGTACACCTTTTCACTACGACTCCCTTTTAGGATTAAACATGTCCTTTATTTTCACTTTGTTATTCGGGTTTTGCCACCAGGATTGGTGATGTTAAGTCAAAATCAATGGTTAAGCTAATTGTTGTGATACATACTAAGAGGGAAATTCCTCATTCCTAGTTGAAAGCAAGAACTTTTTGTAACAACAAATTCTATTTGGTATTAACAAAGTCGTGCAATACTAAAACGCCGATTATTTGGTACCAAAGTAAACCTTACATGATACCAAATGACATACTCCTTAAAATTTTGTTGATATTAACAAAACTGTTATATTGTTAAAAAAAAAAAAAAGGTTGTATAGGGTACTAAAAGTAAGTTTTCTTAATACTAAGCTAAACTTACGTAGTTATGTGGTATCAAAATGAGTGAAAAGTGTACATTTACCAAGTTGACTTTTAATAAATTTTATAAAAGCATCACAATTAGAAATTGGGCAATTTGTATAGACGACAAGTAGTGTAAATTATAGAGTTAACCTGAATTTCAATTGAAAATGAAGAGACAAATCATATTGAGATGGTTAACATTTTAAATCCATGCCTTCTTATCAGTTCATAGTTCAAATGTTCAATGAAAGTCCAAGGTAGTAGGAGATTGGAAAGTTCACCATAACTGATCAATTTTCTTTTATTTTTAATTTTTTTTTTTAAAAAAGGATAGAACGATAAACAAAAGTGCAAAACACATTAGTAAACTAATTACAAGTTGTACTTCGTAACTGATTAATTTGATTTAATTAAGCAGCACACGACAAACCAATTAAAATAATGCATCAAACATAAACAAATGGGAAATAGATAAAAAATTCAACTCTTTATCCAATTACTCTTTTCTTCAGAAATTAAAGTACACCTGAAGTCACAGAATTGAAGGTAAGAGAAGAGATGTTCTGCTATTTTCAAGATTCAATTTTTTGTTTCAAACATATCAATTTATAGCTCTTTCAATAATGTGGGTGTTAATTGATTAGTTAGCACATACAATATATCTGTTCATCTGATATACATGTGTATTCCCTTTTGATTTTAATGCAGATTTATCACATAAAAAAGAATGTTGAAATCAGCTCAATTTCTACTTCCATACATTTTGTTTTCTTTTTACTTCTCTGAGGTTGATGTTGATTCTATCAATGCCCATTTATATTTGCATTCCAATTTTAGCAGGTGGGTATTTTTAGTTTCAATTATTTCAGCATTTATTTTTGGTTTTCTAGGGTTTAGGGTTTATGGGAATTGACTGTTTTGAATTAAATGTGAGTGATTAAAATTTTGGTGTGGTGGTTTATGATATGCTCATCATATATGCACTAATTAATAGTAATTACAGCAGGAAAGAAGTTGAAGCACTAAGAAACGATACCATGTTAACAGTTTTGAAAGAGGAGTTCACATTTCCTGTCGATTCGCCCCCATTTAAAAACTGTCATGCTTCTACCATTGTTGAGGTGACTAATTTAGATGAATTAATGATTTGGTTACTTGGCATTGTTGTAGTGTTTGTAGCTGAAGATTAGAGTTTTGTAGGTTGAGAAGGATCATTTTTTGGTTGCTTATTTTGGGGGAACTGAGGAAGGCGCGCCGGATGTTAAGATATGGTTGCAAAGATATAAGGTAGTATAATTGTAGTCAGCAATGTGAACTTATACATTGTGAATTTGTTTCAATTTTTATTGCGTAGGGCATAAGTTTGATTGCTGCGAGCAATTTCATCTGTTGTATGTAGGATGGCTCTTGGAGTTCACCTATTGTTGCCGATGAAGAACCTTTGATTCCAATGTGGAATCCTGTACTGTTTAAGGCATGTGATCAGCTGCTTCTGTTTTATAGGGTTGGTCAAGGCGTTCAGAAGTAAATTCTATATCTTTGCTCTTGACCTCTTGTTGGATCCTTATTGTTCTTGCTTGGAATGAAAATGTTAGAACTTCTTTGATTCATGGAAATCTTAAGTGAATTAAGTCTATCTTAACCCAAGTAATTTAGTAGAATGTTTGAAGAAAACTTAATGTAACTTAAATGTCTTGCTCAGCTGTAAGGTCTGGTATGTACAGAGCAGTTGGTAATTTTTGAATTAATTTGTTAATGTATTCTGGTGTTCTGACAGCCTTAAGCTTGGTTATTCTCAATAATGTGATGGATGAGTTGAAATTATCGACAATGCTGCAATGAAGTAGCTGTTTCTCTGTGTTTAGCTCTTGAGCTGGAATGTTTTTCCATCAAACAGCCTAAATGTTTTCTTTGCTACACGCACACACATTAAACTTTGGAAAAATATCGTTTTATGTGTTTCAAAATCAAATTTGTTTTCAAATGTTCAGTTACTCTTTCCTCTCCTATAATTATTTTGAAGTAGTAGATCAGAGTTCTCAGAATCTTATTTGTTTTAATATCCTTGCTTTATTCACTTCTAAGTGAAAAACTTATAGCTCAAAAAGTAATAGGCTAGATCATTCCTAGAGGATAGTTAACATACCTGAATACAACCAACTTAACCAAAAAACATTCATTCAAATAATTCGAAATTTATCGTTGATCCTTTTTTCGCATAGAGTTGAATTAAAATTCCTGTAAGGTGTTCCTATAGATTATTTCTATCCTTATGTTTATTTTGAAAGATTTTACTTAAGACTCATCTCTAAACAGGCTATATAATGACCGGGGTATGCATCCCCATTCCCTTTACAAATCTACTTAAGTCTCATACTCACATTGACTCATTGTACACCTATCTTGTGCAAGACTTGCTCACCTATTTCATTTGACATAGATTGTCATTTTTCTAAATGTCTTTTGTATAGATAAGTGAGTGTCATAACTTCTGATAGAAGACACAAATTGTCATTACTACTGCATAGCTTTAACAGTTTAACCCAGCGCTTTCGGCTTCCTTTAGCATCTAAGCTAACTTCGATAGCTACAGCTCTTTCTGACCAAGGATTGTTCCCTTGACATATTTTTTTTGTTGGCTTCTTAAATAATAATGGAGGATCCAGCATGAGTACTAAATTACCTAACCTAAGCTGGTGGAAAGCGTCTATCACGTGTTATCTGGCTTTCTGCACTGTGAATAATAATGTTGAGTACTTTAATTTTAATGGAGTCAAGGGCTGTAGAAATCAGCTGGATAATTGCTTATTGTTAGTGTTTACTTGTTCTCATTGTTTGGTCAATGAACTTCAGTTGGACCGGATGCATGATGCGTTCATTTGATGGAGGTCATACTTGGACAAATAGAGAACAACTTCCTCCTGGTGTATTAGGTCCTATAAAAAATAAGGTTCAGAACTTCAGATTGCCCTTATATTTTTTCACCTTTTCTATTTTGTAATCATTAGTTTGCCAATCATACATTCACACTCGAATATTGTGTTTTGTTCCTGTTCAGCCTATTCTGTTGGACAATGGGCAGATGATCTGTGGGTCTTCTGTTGAAAGCTGGAACTCTTGGGGGGCTTGGGTGGAGGTATGGCATTCTAAGATCATAAAAAAATTTGATCGTCCTTGCTCTGCTTTGATTTTGACTCCTTTTCCCTTTTCTAGGTAACGTCAGATTTAGGTAAAACTTGGAGAAAAAATGGACCAATATACATCCCTGGCGAAGGTCTGAGTGTGATTCAACCCGTACCTTACCAGACAGCAAATGGGAGGTTACGGGTCCTTCTAAGGTCTGCTATTGGTAGAGTTTGTATGTCCGAATCCTTAGATGGTGGTCACACCTGGAGCTACGCACAGCCGACTGCACTCCCCAATCCTAATTCAGGTTTTTGCCAGGACACATTTCAAGTAGTGATTTTTATTAAATCTTTTAGCAGTAGTTTATGTGGACAGTGTGAATTATTGTCGTCATTTCAACCTAATGTGTACTTGAGTGACAAAGCTATACCTGCAAGGGCTGCAATTGCTCAACCCTTGATAAAAAAATATATACTAACTTACTAAGATTACACCTTGCATTTAGTAATAGAAGATATTAAGTTTGGTTGCACACATCAAACTATACATTTACATCTTAACTTGATTTCTATCTATTTTTGCACTTGTAAATTGTTACTTCTTTGGCCAGATTCCCCATTTCCCCAACTCTTTCGTTAAGAATTTTTGGTTTACAGTCCACTAACTTAAACCACAAATTGTTTTTAATTAGGAATTGATGGGGTGAAGTTAAAGGATGGCCGTCTTGTGCTTGCTTACAACATTGAAACGCGGGGATTACTCAAGGTTGCTGTGTCGTGTGATGATGGTGACTCGTGGATTGATGCTTTGACACTTGAGGATACTTCAGACATGGAATTCTCTTATCCAGCTGTCATCCAGGCCAGCGATGGATCAGTGCACATCACTTACACTTACAAAAGGGAACAAATTAAGGTGCATTCAACTTTCTCCCCACGCCCTCTATATGGACTTCTAGCTAATTAACTATTGTGCTCAATATCTAATAAAAACTGTCATAATGTTGGGTTTACAGTGAATGATCGATTGAAGTGTATCTAATATGGGATTAAGGCTTTGATGGATTGATTGATTGCTCAATATCTAATAATAACTGTCATAATTTTTTATAACTGTCACTTTCAAGTTTTGACTATAACAATTTGTTCTTGACTTCCTCATCAACCAAATATCCGATCTATCCTTTTAGAAGTGTTGCATTCATTCTTGTTTGTCAGATGCCTGATTAAAAATTGCAATAACTATATGAAAATTATCACACATTAGTGTGAAGTCTCTTGATTGGGCATTTAGCTAAACCTTTGTCTTGCTTTTGGTCCAGCATGTTGTACTACAGCTCAATTGACACGGTGAACCTTAAATTCCGTGGCAAGCCTGCTGAGGTATGAATAGTGTTTGCTTGATAGATCTGATATTTTTGCTTCTCAGGTTCTAATGGTTTTAACTGCAGCTTGTGTGTTTTTGTTTTTGTTTTTTGTTTTTTTTGTTTGTTTGTTTTTTTTTTTTGTTTTCCTCTGGCATTTCATATCCAAATATGTAATAAGTTGAGGTCGAGTGACATCTTATTCTGTTAAGAAACTATTCTTTTTCTTGACAGTTGATGCTCAGTGAGTGCTTGTAGACTTCTCCCTCTACTCAGACTGCTGGATTGTTGCTGATTTTAAGCTGTGTTGCATTGACACACAAATGGACATAGATACTAGCAGGAATTCAATAATAATGTGTAATAAACTAACTATTCAGAAATAAACTAGTTACGTATTATTTATGCTTCTATACATCCTACATCGGCTATGTGTATTGGTGTTTGAGTATGATACTTGTGACATTAATGTGTGGTTTAAGGTCTTCATGATCTTATTATATACCTAAGCTGTAGCAGCAATGTAGCGCTGTAGCTTGTATCACACCAGTGGATTGTCACTCTGAACGAGTAGACATGTCTGTACTCTATGTCGTAAGCTAAGTTTGAAGTCGCGGTTATTGTAGCTGTGTCAAGGTTTTGTTAAGGCCTTAAGGGCCTCCCAGTATATTCTGCCAATTAAGTACTCAATTAACCGACTCTTCGATGATGTTGAAGTGGCCTGAGGCAAACAACCTGTGCATGTAAGATATTATCTGAAAATAATGTTTGAGGTTGACATCTGAAATTTGAAGTAATAAACGAAATAACAGGCTTGAACATTGTATTAGAATAATTTGGTCTTTTTGTTGGTCCGAAATCCGAATGAGCTACAAGGGCAAGTTGAGATATTTGAACTTATTATGTACTTCGTATGACCTATCACATACAAGCCGTCTATTTTAACCATTAGACTAAGATCTCATTGTTATATTTTCACCCTTAAATAACAGTGTTAAGTAGTTAACTATTAGAAATAGGAAAAAATTAGCATAAATAATCTCAACTTTGTTTGCAGATTTCATTTTAATTTTTACTTTTATTTTAATAATAACTCGGTTCAATCCTAATTATTTATGTCACATTCTCAAATTAGTCTGAGGATGACTATAACTCTCACCTAACATGACCCATCACGTGGCATAACTTGTTCCATTGTTCTGTTTCAAGGGAAGTATAATATTGTAGTGGGTAGAGTAAGAACTGTGAAGCTCATCTCTTTATCTAACAAATTTTCATGGCTTCCAGTGGCAATCAAGGGAAATTTGAAGCTAAGGTGATATGTTGATGCTAGATTGAGGGTTGTCGATAACTCGACAATGGTGGAGCGTATACAGGGAAGAGGTTCTACGCAATTAGAAAGTTCCCAGTAAGGGCCTGTTCCGATTGACTGAACTGAGCTGAACTGAACTGAACTTATTAATTAGTGTTTTTTTAACTACGGATTAGTGATCTTTGATTATTTATTGATTATTTATTACTATACATATGTGTATATACAAATGTACATATTAAAATATTTACGAAAATATACTATAACAATGAATTGTATCATTATTATTATTATTATTATTATTAATTATTGATGATTATTATTATTATTATTTATTGATTATTATTATTATTAGCATTATTATTATTGTTATTATTATTATTATTTATTGATTATTATTATTAGTATTATTATTTCAATTATTATTGTTATTATTTATTGATGATTATTATTATTATTATTATTTATTACTTATTGATTATTATTATTATTGTTAATATTATTATTGTTGTTGTTGTTGCTGCTGCTTGCTGCTTGCCTGCTGCTGCTGCTTGCTACTTGCCTGCTGCTGCTGCTGCTGCTGCTGCTTGCTGCTTGCCTGCTGCTGCTTGCTGCTGCTGCTGCTGCTGCTTGCTGCTGCTGCTGCTTGCTGCTTGCCTGCTGCTGCTTGCTGCTTGCCTGCTGCTGCTTGCTGCTGCTGCTGCTGCTGCTTGCCTGCTGCTTGCCTGCTGCTGCTGCTGCTGCTTGCCTGCTGCTGCTGCTGCTGCTGCTGAATGAAATTTGACTTTATATCATTAGCAATATCATTAGACATAAATTAAGAGTTGAACTGAACTGAACTGAATTTCAACGGAAGAGAACATGCCCTAAGTGTTATTGTTAAAGTTCCTAGTATATTGCTGTCATTTTAGTTAAACCATATTGTGGTTGGTTGTAATGTTACACAGTTTGTGCTTTGAGAATATGACATACTGAGTTAAATAAATGTATGGGTTAAAATGAGGACAAAAGAAGTTGGGATTATTTATGTTAATTTTTCCTTAGATATATACTATGTAACACAACTATATACTATAACATTTTAAGAGAAGTTACCTTACCTGTAAATAGCATTAACCCAATGGCTAATATTCGGGTTTACACCGTTCACAAATTTCTGAATTGTATAAATCAATTACAAATAGATAGAAATTATAAATTTGTAAGTTAAACAAAGAGTAAAGCTTAAGAATTTGGAATTTCAAAGTTTATTGATGGTTCTTGAAGTTTAGATACCATACTCAATACCTTTTGCTATTTAAAAAAGATTCTATGTTGTGATAAAATTGCTGCAATTTATGCCACTAAATTACTATAATTAATTAGCTAATCTGCAATTGTTTTGTGATTAGCAACATGGTATAAGAGTATTATATTACAATTTGTTACCAAAAATATATATAAAACTAAGAGATGGAGGCTTTTTATAATGAAATTTGGCCTGACTAATCACAAAGTCAAAGATAATAATGTTTGCCATGTTTACACATTTAATACACTCCATTTGCCAAATAAATGAAGAAGTTTTAGATCAAGTTAGAAGAACAGCTTGTCTTAGCTTCTTTTATCATTTGCACCTAGATTACTGCATTATTAAGGTAATGATGAACTAATGGCTGTTCTTTTGTGTGTCCATTCGATTCGTTTTGATGATTTTATCGATTTTTTTTATATGAAATGCATGTTCATTTTCTAATATAGTTCGGCCATTGCAGTCTTGCAGATATTTGGTTTGAACTTACATACAGTATGCAGTTCGTTATTAGGCTTTGGGATGGTAAAAAGAGTTGCATCTTCACCATTGTATTACTTATCCTTTTCTTTCTTTTGATTGAGGGAGGCAAAACAGAATCTTCCATGTTAAAGGTAGTACAAGAGGAGTTCACATTTGCTGAACTTTCGCGCTCTTTCAACATGTGCCATGCTTCTACAATCGTCGAGGTACTTGTGAGAAATAATTGTGTGTAACTTGCTCATTCATCATCTCTGCAAGATTTATATATGTTTATTAGCTTTTGTAGGTTGAAAAGGGTCATTTTTTGGTTGCTTATTTTGGAGGCTCCGGTGAGGGTGCACCTGATGTTAAAATTTATACACAAAGATATAAGGTAAGTGAGGGTAATAATACAGTCCAATGAATTTATTCATTGAAACAAATATGTTCTTATCATTTGAACTACATATTATTGTAGTTACATACATAAATTGAGACATAGAGCATGTTATTGTGCAGGATGGTTTATGGAGCTCTCCTATCGCTATCGAACAAGAACCTGAAGCTTCAGTCTGGAGTCCTGTGTTGGTTAAAGCACTTGATGAGTTGCTCCTGTTTTTCAGAGTTGGTCCAACCTTTCAAACTTTCGTAATTTGTTCTGTTCTGTTCTGTTGTACATTCTAATAAAAATTTGCGCAATACTCCATCGTTGCACCCCCCTCCTCCTTACCTAGGAGATCGAAGGACAATTAAAATGAACTCAGACATACCAATCATCAATAGAATATCAACTTAACTTATTTTATTTCAACTAATAATAAACAATCTGACATATGAAAGTTTAGTTATGTCTTAACTTTGTGAATATATTAGTACGGAGTAATAAGAGTCTTTGTTATTTGTGCAGTTGGACCGGAGCTATGAGGCGTTCAATTGATGGAGGAGTCACTTGGTCATCGCGAGTACAGCTCCCTGCTGGTATAATCGGACCAGTCAAAGTTAAGGTTAGGATCATATTATGATAAATTCTTACTATTAATTCATCTTCCTAATTTCATTAATGTTACGTTATAGTTGTGTAATTTGAATTTGTAATGCAAGGTTCTTAATGTACATGTACTTTTGTTTCTTCATACATATTCAGCCTCTTTTAATGGAAAATGGAGAATTGATTTGTGGATCCTCTGTGCAAACATGGAATGCTTGGGCATCTTGGGTGGAGGTAATTACGTTCATGGATCAAATATTGTTTACTTCGTGAAGTTTTTGAGACGGTATCCTAAAGACACGGGATCGAATTTTGTTTATAATCATAACTTTGTGACTTTCTTACATACACCAGTGAACTTACGTTATGGTTTGTCTTTGAGAGAATGCGTTATGGCTTTAAATTTAATATGCACTTTTAGGTGACTCCGGATTTGGGAACAACATGGAAGAAATATGGACCCATAGTGGTTCCAAATCATAATATGAGTGTGCTTCAACCAGTACCTTATCTCACAAAGAAGGGACATATACGCATTCTTATGAAATCTCACTCGAGCATTGGTAGAGTTTGCCTAGCTGAATCTTGAGATGGCGGTCGTACTTGGAGCGATGCTGTGCCTACTTAACTCCCAGATCCTAATTCAGGTACTAGTGTACTGGCTAAAGACTTTACTATTAGCACTTTAGCAAAATTGATTCGTATTCAATTTTGAGATCGAATTTTGACTCTTAGTCATAAATTAAGTGGTACAGTTTGTCTAAGGTGTGTCTATAGGCACATGCTAACCTCTACGAACGCCATATAATTTCTGTTCGACAATTTTGCTGCCAAATTACAAAAAATGCTCTATAATTATATCTTGGGATATATAGTTTCTTACTGACTTGATTTACTTCCATGATCAGCAATCGATGCAATCAAGTTACGTGATGGGTGTCTAGTGATCGTTTACAACACAACTTCAAGGGGAATTCTCAAGGTTGCCATCTCTTACAATGATGGCGATTCATGGCTTGAAGTCTTGACACTTGAAGACACTCAAGGAATGGAATTCTCATACCCAGCCATTATTCAAGCCAACAATGGACTAATTCACATTACTTACACTTACAAGAGGACACAAATTAAGGTAACTTTTGCTTTTCATTTAGTTAATTTTGTCAATCAATTTATACAAATTAATTTCTATTGATAAAAGGACAAATTAAGGTGATTTTTCTTGCAGCATGTTGTTCTTCAGCCTTGAGGACCCTCGACACTTGTATTGTGATGACTGATGAGGATAAAAGGCATAATTTATTATGCACAAAATGTATGTTATATTCTTGTTTAATTATGTAACAATTATTTGTATATAGTCTTGGGTATTTGATGATCAAGTACATTTTATATTCAAAAGTGTTTGACTTTAATGATGGATCTCACATGAATACGTGATATCTAATATTTGACGATCGATAATTATTAATAATTGGTACCATGTCGAGATCTATTAAGGTGAATACATAAATCTTTATAATAAATCGGTCTTTTATATTGTGTTTGGTCATCTACCTTAGTTTGAGCTTAAAAGGTAGAAATTGTTTATGATTCATAATAATTGCAGCACTTAATAATCGACACAAATTTTAACAAAAATAGAAAGAAAAAGTAAGGGTATGTTCTCATAGACTGAACTCAACTGAAATGAATAT